ACCACACACAGATCCGCTGCACGCGTATTCAGACACCTACACGCACTGCGAGATCCACCCCGCCATGATCCTGGGGGTGTGCGCCTCCATCGTGCCCTTCCCGGACCACAATCAGTCGCCGCGCAACACCTACCAGTCGGCCATGGGCAAGCAGGCCATGGGTGAGATGGCTGGGACAGTCATGGATTGTGTTGGGAGTTGGGGTGCCAAGTGGGATCACGGTGGCTGAGGATGAAGTGGGCAAGGATGGCGCACAAGATACGATGTACTGTACTTGCTAATTGGCGTTCACAGCGAGGCAGGCGAGGCACGCCATGCATCGCAATGGGCCATGGTCTCAGATGATTCCCATTTTGTGGTTACTCCAAGCCCGGCAACCACTCACCCTCCTCTCGCCTTCCCTCCCGCTCAACAGGCATGTACGTGACCAACTACCAGGTCAGGATGGACACACAGGGGTATGTCCTGTACTATCCCCAGAAACCCCTGGTGACCACGCGGTCCATGGAGTACCTGCACTTCCGGGAGCTGCCGGCAGGTGGCGGGGGGGGTCGGGGAGGTGGGGGTGGGGGTGGTGTGGTGATGGAGACAAGTGGATGTGGTGGGATGCCTGGCACAAGCTTCCGGACAGGGAGTTCTTACTTGCTCAGCTGCAGTCAAACGACAATGTGATGCATGTACCTCCGTAACTCCCACCCTGTGCCTGCCCAGGCATCAACACCATCGTGGCCATCGCCTGCTATTCCGGCTACAACCAGGAAGATTCTACCATGATGAACCAGTCCAGCATCGACCGCGGCATCTTCCGGTCCATCTTCTTCCGATCCTACAAGGTATGGCTTTTGTGTGCAACGGGTTGTGGGCTGCATGCAGTGATCCTGCCTGGGCAGAGTAGGACGTACCTGGCAATGTGCCCGGATCTGGGAACCGCGTCTCTGTGCTGTCACTAACCCCCCCCCCCCAGGACACAAGTAGCTCCTCGACAGTGCCCTGAGGGAGTGCGACCGGCACCTCCCTTGCCTGCAAGCCCCGCGTTTTGCATCCTCACCACCCCACTGCCCTCCCGCCATCACAACAGACAGAGGAGCGGAAGCAGGGTTCCATCGTGCAGGAGTTCATCGAGCGGCCCAGCCGGGAGATCACTGCCGGCATGCGGCACGGCACGTACGACAAGTTAGACGACGATGGCATCGCAGCTCCTGGCACCCGTGTCTCGGGTGTGTGGAATTGGGAGAAGGGGCAGGGAGCAGGGCACACTTGTGGCATTCATCGGTGCTGAGGATCCACCTGGTGGTGAGGATCCGATGGAGCATAGGGCGAATTCCTGAGGCTCCTGGGTATTGGGTGGGCACGGAAGAGCTAGGGAGGCACAGGAGGTTGCCCTTTAGCTGTCACGATGCCAATGGATTCCATCCAGCAGGCGCAGGCAGCATCCGCGTGCGCTGGCATGCAGTGTGTCTCACTTTCTTTCCTTCTCGACTGAGGCATCCATCTCTACCCGCTTTTCCTCTCCTCCCCCCCTCCCCGCGAGCAACCGATGCACCTTTCTCATCACCCCCCCCTGCTTTTCCTATGCACGCCAGGCGACGATGTGGTGATTGGCAAGACCTCACCCATCCCCGACGACGGCTCGGGCATGCCCCAGCGCTTCACCAAGCGCGACTGCAGCAGCAGCCTGCGCCACAGCGAGAGCGGCATGGTGGATGCGGTGCTACTCACCACCGGCGCAGATGGCCAGCGCTTTGTCAAGATGAGGGTGAGGAGAGGGTTGGAGGGGAGGGTGATAAGCGGGAGAGGGTGGTGCATTGCTTTCTGGATTGAGCAACCAGGAATTGAATCCTCACCACTCCTTGCCCATGATGACCACACCCCTCAGACTCCCCTCCCCCCCCCCCAAAAAAATAATACTCACACCATGCAGGTGCGATCGATCCGTATCCCCCAGGTAGGCGACAAATTTGCTTCGCGGCACGGGCAGAAGGGCACCATCGGCATCACCTACACCCAGGAGGACATGCCCTTCACCGCGGAGGGCATCGTGCCCGACCTGATCATCAACCCGCACGCCATCCCGTCGCGCATGACCATCGGTCACTTGGTGGAGGCGCTGATGAGCAAGGTGGCGGCGTGCCTGGGCAAGGAGGGCGACGCCACACCCTTCACCGCCGTGACCGTGGAGGACATCTCCACCCTACTCCACGGCTGCGGCTACCAGCAGCGCGGCTGGGAGACCATGTACAACGGGCACACGGGGCGCGCGCTGGCGGCGCCCATCTTCCTCAACCCCACCTACTACCAGCGCCTGAAGCACATGGTGGACGACAAGATCCACGCGCGCGGTCGGGGGCCGGTCCAGATCCTGACGCGCCAGCCCGTGGAGGGCCGCGCGCGCGACGGCGGCCTGCGCTTCGGCGAGATGGAGCGCGACTGCATCATCAGCCACGGCGCCTCTGCCTTCCTCAAGGTGGGTGGGGTGGGGGTTGGGGAGTTGGGGTTGGGGGAGTGGGTTGCCAAAGGGCTGCATCCAACAAGCAGGGGCTGTGTCGTGCGGGCATTCACGGTGGAGGCCCGACGGGGAGGCGACCGTGCCAGCCACGCATTCCATTTCGAAGCCTGGCCTTGGGACCCCCACAACCAAGTGATCACAGCTCCCCCTTCCCTCCCCTTCAACACCCACCATACAAGGCCCCACCGTTCAACCCCCACCATCCAACCTTTCATGCGCAGGAGCGCCTGTTCGACCAGAGCGACGCCTACCGGGTGCATGTCTGCGAGCGCTGCGGCCTGATCGCGGTGGCCAACCTGAAGAAGAACCAGTACTACTGCACCGCCTGCAAGAACACCACCGGCATCGTGGCCGTGCACTTGCCCTACGCCTGCAAGCTCCTGTTCCAGGAGCTGATGGCCATGTGCATCGCGCCGCGCATGCAGTTCTAAGTGCGTGGGACCGGCGCGTGCCTGCGAGCGCGGCAGCCGCAGGGTGTTCCGAGGGCGGTGCGCCTGCCTGCCGGGTCGGGCGTCCGATCAGGCGCCGCTGCGGACCTGCGTTGCCAGTGGGTTTGCCAAGCTCATACACCGGCCGTCGATGCAGGGCATCCCTTCCCCCCTTTCCTTCCTGCTTCCCCCCCTCCCCTTTCCATATCGTTGTGCCAGTTACAAAATCGCGAAAACTGCCGACCACGGCCGCAAGAGACTGGCAAGGCGGGGGCAGATGCCAAGAAAAAGAGAAACAGGATGAGGTGCTGGGTGGGAGCTGCGAGGCGCAGCCAAGTCTGGGTCCAGAGCCTTCCCTCGCCCCGTTTCAAAGCTTGCTGTGGGCCAGCTGGGCCTTGAGCACGGTGTGCCAGGCCGGCCCCTCTGCGGTGTCGTTCAGCGGGGACCCCTGCGCGGCCTCCAGCAGGGCCTGGTACACGTCGCCGTCCTTTCTTCCCAGAGCAGACGACAGGAGGTAGTCCTCGTACCCAAAGCCGTCGGTGAGGGCGACCGCGTCGGGGCGCACGGCGCGCACCAGCTCCCGCTTGGCCGCTCGCAGCTGCACCGCCTGGGTGCCTGGTGGTCATACAGGGGTTTGGCGGATGTGATGGGCGGGTGTGCAGCAAGGAGGGGGGGTGCGTTTGTGAGAGCTGATTGATTGAACGGCACTCAGTCGACTCGAGCACCGAGATGGTGCGCCCTGCAGATCCACCACCAACGTGGCAGCTCTTCCTCTACAGAGCTGCCATGTTGGGAACCAGTTTCTCACCCCTCCTCCAGCACCAGACTTGGGAACCCGCTCCATCCCCGCCCCTTCCCACCCACACAACACCACTCACTGTTGATGTACCCAGCTTCGAGCAAGTCCCCCGCGGCGTCCACCAGGAGGGTGACGCCGTGGAGCTGGCACAGCGTGCGCAGCGCGCGCGTCGTGGCGGGCTTCAGCTCCCCCGCCGCCGCCTCCACCGCCTCCAGGAAGTTGCGGTGGAGGAGGAGGGCGGAGTGGGCTTTCGCCAGGCGGATGAGGTCGACGTTGGTCCCGTTCCAGGGCTCACCCTCGAAAACCAGCTCGCCGCCCGCGGCGGCCCTCAGCACGGCGGCGGCCTGCACCGCCAGGTGGCGCGCCGCGCGCGTCAACGCCTCCACCTGCGCGGGCGCGGCGCGCCAGCCGGCGGCGTCGTGCACGCCGCAGCGCCGGGCGCCGGCGCCTTCGTCGGCCAGGTACTGCACGGAGGGCGCCAGGCGGCCGCCGCGCTGCGCGGTGATCAGCGCGCGCACCAGGAAACGCGCGGCCTGCAGGTACATGACGTTGTTGTCACCCTCCCAGGTCGCGTTCTGGACGTAGGAGGTGAAGAGGGTGGGCAGCGCCGACAGCTGGCTGAAGCCGTGCCCGCCGCAGGTCCTGCGCGCGGTCTCGATGCCGTCGCTGGTCGCGTCGGTGCAGGCGGCCTTCAGGCCGGAGGACAGCGCGTGGAGCTCGGGGAGGGCGGAGAAGTCGCCGCGCGCGCGCGCGGCGTCGAACGCCTTGTACTGCCCGAACATGGCGCGGCCCATGAAGGACAGCGCGTAGGCGCGCGCCAGCAGCGGCAGCAGCACCTGCTGCACGTTGTCGTAGTCCAGCACCTGCAGCTCGCGGGCGCCGGGTCCGGGAGCCGTCTGGCGGCGCACCGCCGTGTACCGCGTGGCGATGGTCACCGCGCGGCCCAGAAAGTCGCCGGCGTTCTTCACGATGTCGGCGCGCACGAAGACCATGGTCGCGTAGCTGGCCTTGGCGTTGGCCGAGGGCGGGGGCACGTAGGTGCCATCACGCTCCAGGCGGGCAAAGCGCGCCAGCAGCGCGGAGCGCGGGATGCGAAGGTGGTCGAAGCGCAGGAAGCCATTGTCCACACCGTTGTAGCCCATCTTGGGGCCGATATCGCCCACCGTCACGCCCGGGAGCGGCGTGTGCCGGGCCATGTCCCGGATCTGGACCACGAAGGAGTGGACGCCGTGGTCCTTGCCGCGCGAGATCAGGCGCGCCATGAGGATGACGTGCGTGGCCGTCTTGCCCAGGCCCCCCGGCCACCACTTGGTGGAGGTGAGGGTGGGGGAATGCACCACAAACTCGTCGGAGTCAGAGTCAAACACCGCCACCGTCTCCAGCCCGCGCACAAAGGTGCCGTGCCCCAGCTCCGTCTGGGCGTAGGTGCCCACCATCTCCAGGCGCAGGCTGGGGGGGAGCCACGCCTCCTGTTGCTCCTTGGTCCCGTGCGCCAGCAGGGACGGGATGAACATCTGGGATTTTCAATTGTTTGGGGGAGGGTGTTGGAAAGCGAGGAATCGTGGCCACAGGGCCGGCGAGGAGTGGAGCATGACCGTGCTTTCATATCTCAAGGGCATCTGATAGAGGTACCGGGGTGAAAAGGGGGGGGTGGGGGGGTGGGGGGGTCGTGCGGTGGCTAAAGGGGCGCTGTGCTGGGGGCCGAGCCAGGCATCACGGTTGGATATAGGCTTGTGGGTCGAGCATGTCCCAGGCCACGCCCTTGCGCATCAACCCATCAGCAACGCCAGCCCCCCCATGAACACAGGAGGACCGCCAAGTCCCCGCGCCGCGCACCCCAAGGTGGAGCTCTAGGCCTGCGGGCCAGTTGAGCTGCTTGCGCATGGCCATGGCCTCCTCATTGGTGATCTTGCCCTCGTTGGCCATCTTCCAGATGGTCACGGAGGCCTCCAGGCCCTGCACATACTCTTCGGTGCGGGTGAGGAAGGGGCGCTTGGACTTGTCGCCCCAGGGGAACTGCTTGAGCATCTGGATGGCCTTGACACTGTAGGGGGAAGGCAGGAGCAGAGGGTCGTTGCAACATCACTGCTGATGTGGCTGAAAGGAGTGACGTAGTAGGTGCTTCAAAGCATGTTTGTGATTGCCAGTACAAATCAGGGCAGGCCAGGGTTCCATCAATAAACCATCGGTTTCCGAGCCCAGACCCCCAACCAAACGCACTTGCGGTCCAGAACGCTCTGGCCCCCCTGCATGTACACTGCCAGCTCGTTGGCGTCGAAGGACGCCTGTTCACGCTCTGCGACTGCATCAGCCTTGGGATCGGAAGTTGCGGCCCGGATCTCGCGGGCGACGGGCTCCACCAGCGCTTTCGTGCGAGCGTCCACCGTCCGAGACATGGCGAGGTAGCGAATGGGAAGAAGGATCTGCCCACGCACCGATTAGGGAGGAAACTGATATGCAGCTGCACCTGAATGGGTTTTCAGAGCGATCTTGTATGTAAACTTCCCTGTGGACAACGAGACGTGCCAGTTTTACGCAACGCAATACCCAACCCGAACCAGGCCACGCCAGCACCCCCGTCCTCACGTCACGTGGTCGGACGGTTGGAAACAGGGAACCCGAGTTTCCGCTGCTTGAAATTTCAACTGGTGAGTGCAATTGACCGGACAGCGGGATCGTTCGGGAGCGAAGTCTGACAAAGTGAACAGATCTGGAGCAGCATTGATAGAGCGCGCACTCGCGGAAGGTATCGGCCCGTTGGCCGAGATGACGGAGGCTATCGATGCCCATGTCCTCAAGAAGTACGAAATTCAGCAGAAGCTCGGCAAAGGGGTGAGGCCAGGGGGAAGCGAGCTTTGCGACTAGTACAACTACGTGTGCCATTCCCCATGCCTGCCTGTTGAGGGGCCTGGAAGTGAGGAGCACACAAACCACCCCCCAACCTCCAGGCCTACGGGATCGTGTGGCGCGCCGTGGACAAGCGTACGGGTGACGTGGTGGCCCTGAAAAAGATCTTCGACGCCTTTCAGAACGCCACGGATGCACAGGTGCCTGGGCGAGGTTACATTGGCGTCCTGCGGTGATTTCTCCGAGCACAGGCCAACCTCCTTTGTCAGATCTCCTGGCTTACACCGCGAACCGCCCCACTCACAGAGGACATTCAGGGAGATCATGTTCCTCCAGGAGCTGAGCAACCACGAGAACATCATCAGGTTCGCAATAAGTGGCTACAGGACACCTGATCTCTTTCAATGAGGCCTGCAAGCCACCGACGATGGTTTATTGCACAGCCACCATCATGGGCTTGGCAACAGCATAATAGCCATACCATCGTGCTCCCTTTCACCCCTCGACCCCACATCCAATTCAGGCTACTCAATGTCCTCAAGGCTGAGAATGATCAGGACATCTACCTCATTTTTGAGTACATGGAGACGGATCTCCACGCCGTCATTCGGTCAAACATCCTGGAGGAGATCCACAAGCAGTACATAATGTACCAGATCTTCAGGTCTCTCAAGTACATCCACTCCGCAGAGCTCCTGCACCGGGACATCAAGGCATGTCTCTAAGAGGGCCATTAGACTTTGGGCATCGTCCCCTGTTGTGGGACGGAGGTTGAGGTATCCTGTGTATGTTGCAGATTTCCTGTGCCCCTTCTTCCCCCCTTTCACATCCCCTAGGCGCAGCCCCGGCCACCTTCTCCTTACCATGACCCGGACCACACCGTCCTTGCCCCTCCCGCAGCCAAGCAATGTCCTGCTGAACTCGGAGTGCCTGGTGAAGATGGCTGACTTTGGGCTGGCCCGCTCCGTCGCGCAGCTCGCAGCCGAGGAGGGGAACCCCGTGCTGACGGACTACGTGGCGACGCGATGGTACCGCGCCCCGGAGATCCTGCTGTCCTCCATGCGATACACCTACGGCGTGGACATGTGGGCCTGCGGTGAGTGTGCCCCCTTGGGGTTTTGAGGGGTGGCGCAGGGCTGGGGTCCTGTCTGGACAGGCTCTGGCCTGCTCTTCTGCGTCCCAGGACTCTTCTGCGCATGCATGGCCCCACCCCCCCACCCACCCCCGATCCAGCCTCAGCCTGGCACATTACTCAGCCTTCATCAATCACTGTCCAGGCTGCATCCTGGGCGAACTGCTGAATGGGAAGCCGGTCTTCCCCGGCACCTCCACCATGAACCAGCTGGACAGGATCCTGGAGATCACGGGTCGGCCCTGCGCCGAGGACGTCGAGGCGGTGCAGTCGCCGTTTGCGGGTGAGGCCGGAGGTTGAGCAAGGGGTGAGGTGGGGATGGAACGGGCTGGCCTCGTCTCGCCGATGCAATGGGACAGAGGAACCGGCTGGTCATTGCAGGGACTGCCCTGGCCGGCTCGCCATTCTGTCGTTGTGTTGCGGCCTTCACCAATCCATGACGGGAGTTGATCACACCTGTATGCCGGGGCTCACGTCCCCTGGCACAGCATCTCCAGCATGCCCCGACACCTCTCCCGCATGCAGCCACGATGCTCGAGTCGATGCGCGCGCCCGACACGCCCCGCCTGGAGGCCGCCTTCCCCTCTGCCTCCCCCGAGGCCCTGGACCTGCTGGAGAAGCTGCTGCAGTTCAACCCGGAGAAGCGAATCAGTGCGGAGGAGGCGCTGCGTCACCCCTACTGCCTCCCCTTCCACAACCTGGTGGACGAGCCGGTGGCACCCAACACCATCACCATCCCCATCGACGACAACACCAAGGCGGGTGCCGGGCGCGGCTGTGGGTGTGCATCTCTGTGTGAGGCGTCTTTTGCTGAGGATCGCAGGATGGAGCGATGCTCCAGAGATTCCTGCTCGCAGATCCCGTGCCGCCGCATGCTGGGGTAGTGCGTTGTCAAGCATACCCATGCATCGATCCCTTTGACCTCCCTGTGGTGCTGCTACTACATGATGCTTCAAGGTGACGAGTCACATTCACAGCCCACACCGCTCTCCCCCCTGCAGCATATGATCCACCAGTACCGCGACAAGCTGTACATGGAGATCCTCAGGAAGAAGAAGGAGATGCGGCGCCGGATGAAGGAGCGGGAGGCGGCGAGGGCGAGCCGGGGCACGCGAACCGGCGGCAGCAACCCTCAGCAGCAGCAGCGCGCCGCTGCGCCGGAGCAGGGGCGGCGCACGGCCGTGGCCGGTCGGGCATGAGTGGGTCTGGATGCGCCCGCAGTCCCACTGCGTGCGACATCCTTGTGGGCCACTTCCCGGCGCCCTGAGGCTCCGCCCGTCTCGCACACCAGAGCCACAGACCCTTTTGACTGAAGCTTTCCGCCTTGACATGACGCATTGCCTTGACCAGCCTCGCTGCTCCACCCCTCCCCTGCTGCCCCCGCTCCCCTGCCCCTCAAGCCAGTGTCGCGACTGCCTCCACCTCCTCACGCGCTGCCCGGACCTCGGGTGAGCTGTCATCGCCAGCTTGATCCTGAGCCATGTGAAAAATGGTTTTCTCACGGTATGCTGGGGTCCCGAGTGGTGAGGAGGGCGCATCCCATTTCCCCACATCAGACCACAGCTCGGCAAGGGCCGCAGCACCCACCCACCCACCAGGGCAGACTGGAGCTGCTCGAGCGCCTGGCTGAGTCGCTGCCGGGTGTCGGGGATCATGCCCACCGACTCTGCGAGGATGTTCTCCTGGGTCGCAGGAGAAGGCATGCAGCGCAGGGCTCCTTCAGAGTGCATCGCGAGCCATCGGTCAATGTGGTGGTGTACCGTGCTCAGATGGATGAATCCCACCATCCAAGTACATTGCCACTCACCGCATACTTGACATCATGGATGTCCGCGCCATCCGCTTTCAATTTCTCGACGTTTGCCGACTCCTTCACCTGCTCCTGGATGTACATGTCCAGCTCCTTGCGCAACCGACGTAGGGTGCCGGTCTTGACCTTGATGGATTTAAGGGCGGCAGCGTCCATGGCGGCGGTAAATGCGATCGAGATCCGATAATTTTGGATATCGAGCTTGAGTATTTCATCCTTTCATGCATCCCTGTGGGACGTGTTGGTCCGTGACACTGGCCTCGCGGGAAGGTGTCTCTCGTCCCTGGCGGACATTTCAAACCGAGGAAACTGTTGCGGGTGGGATCATGGGAAACCAGGTTCAGGCGACGCCAAGTACGGCCAGCCCCAACGCCCTATCATCTGCCTATTTGCTGCCATTGGATGCGGTAGATTTTCAACGGTCATCACACTGCCACACAGGCTAGATCACGAGAGCACTCTAGGCGGCTGGCGTGGTGGGCGCGCCAACTGCGGCGCTGCCCATCTTGGGGATGCGAGCTCCGGCCATGAGCGCATCAAACTCCCTGCCGAAGGTCTCCAGGTCCACGTATGTGTTCTGATAGACCCATGGCGAGCCGGGCAGCCCATCCTTGGGCCTGGGCACCTCTGGTCCGGGGTGCTCAAAGGGCTCGATCCCCAGCCGCTGGTGGAAGTCGATCTTGCGGAAGAAAGCGTACCCCGGCCTGTGGTTGACCCACTCGTGGTAGGGGCAGTCGGATGCCAGCACGATCTCCCTGTAGTTGGCCCTGCAGCGCGGGGTCGGGAGCAGACGGGCGTGGGTGAGGGGCCCGCAGTGTTGACCCAGGCCTGCACTTGCCCTCCGCCAACCACCACCTCCTCACCCGCGGATCATGGCCCCGTTGCTCAGCCGCCAACCGTATGGGTACATCTGCATGGCGCTGGCGCCGTGCTTGATGAACATGGCATTGGTCCAGCCCGCCCCGTGCATGCCCACCAGCACGTCGGTGTGGCCCATGAGGTCCAGCACCTCCAGCAGCGGCTCCTGTGTAGCGTGTCAAGGGGGGGGGAGGAAGTGGGTTCAAAGACCCTGGGGCGACAGGACCTGTGGTTGACGAGCGGCAGCTCCCATGGCCCATGCCCATGGCGAGGCTGAGCATGGCATCCTCCCCCGGGCAGCAGCCTCACTCTGGTCCCAGGCCACCTCACCCCTCTCATGCCTCGCACCTGGAAGGTGGTCACACGCAGGGTGACGTTGTAGTTGCGCAGGATGTAGCGCAGGATGTCTACCTCGTTCAGCACGCCGCGCGAGAAGAAGGGGCGGCACATGTACGTGACCACGGGGCGGAAGGGCTCGTGTCGGTGCTGCGCGTCGGTCTGTGTGCAGGGTGATGGAGGAGGTGAGGGGTGGAGGTGGGAGGGAGGGAGAGGTGGGAGAGAGGGAGAGGTGGGAGGGAGGTGGAGGCGGGAGGGAGGGAGAGGTGGAGGCAGGTCTGAGAGCCTGAACAGGGAGTATCTGGGCAAGACCCCTGGCATGCAACGACCTCACCCCTCCTTCAAAACGTTCGCGCCCAAGCTCACCGGCACATCGAGGCGGGGCATGGCGGCCAGGGCCGCTTCGACCCGGGCCGCCTCGCGCATCGCCTCCGCCGTCTCGGCCGCCGCCGCGGTGGCTGCACCCTCCGCGCTGGCCTCCAGCCCCGCCACCTGGCCCGCAACGGCGGCCATGATGCGGCGGCCGCTCCTCCGGCGCTGCTGCGCTGTCTGGCCGGCGCTCGCGCCGCCGGCCATCGCCGCGCCCTGCGCACCTGCATCAACCAGCGCAGCCCCCTGCTGAGCGACTGCGTTGCCAGCAGCCGCAGCGGTGTCAGCCGCGGAGGCCTGGCCAGCCTGCGCGCCGGCCGCTTCGACGCCCTGGCTGCCAGACGCAGCCAGGCCCCCGCCAGAGGCGCTGCTCGTGCCAGGATCCGAGCCGGTCGCCGTGGCTGCGGTGCCAGTGCCCCCAGCGACGCCGGCGACAGCTGCGGCGCCAGTGGCGCCCGGCTGCGTGCCGCTTGCCGCGGTTCCCGGCAGGGTGGGCGTGGAGGCGGCCAGCGTCTCCGCACCGCCCGCCGTACGCACGGGGTCGCCCGCCGCCGCCGCAATCATCGCCGCCGTTCCCGTGGCCGCAGAGTTAGGGTCGGCCGCCGTCGCCGCAGCAGTCCCCGTACCTGTCGCCGCGGCACTCGTCACAGGGTCCACGGACACGGCCCCCGCCGCTCCCGCTCCAGTCGCCGCGGCAGTGGTCACAGGGTCCACTGGAGCTGCCACCGCGCTTCCTGCCCCGGCACCAACCGTCGCCGCTGCTCCCGCCCCGCTCGCCTCCGCCTGTACTCCCACCTCAACGCCCATGGCCGCGTCCGCGGCGGCCGCCGCCGCCTGCCACCCGGGGCTCAGCGTGCCCATGTTCTCCCGTACGCCCTGGTGCGGGACCTCCAGCTCGCCAATGGCGTCTGCCAGGCCAATGTTCTCGGGGCCGATGCCGCGGCGCAGCAGCTCCATTGCCGGCGGCGCGTAGCCCTGTGGGATGGAGTGGGTCGCTGGTGCATTGTGGTCCGGGCCAGTGTGGAGAGGGAGCCACGGCAGCCGGTTCTCCATGCACCCTCGTCAGGCTCAGGGTCGGGGAAGGTGCTTGCCAGCCCGCTCTCGGACCCCCCAGCCCTCAGCACCTACCAAAACCTGACCCTGGCAAGGGTCTGCCCACCCAACGCGCTTCACCAGCCGCCATCCCTGGGCTCCCCCCCTCCCCGATCATCTTCACGCATCCAATCCCCATCACCCTCACCCAGAACTGCGTGGAGGCGGGGTCGCGCGCACGCTGCTCGGCCATGGCCTGCTGCTGGGCGGTCATTATGTAGGCCTTGAACACCGCCATGGCGCTCTTGCGCTGCGTCTGCGGGTGTCCAGGGCGGCGGTGGTGGTGGGGGTCGATGACTGGCAAGGGTGTGTGCTGGCAAGGGAGTCGGCCACGCCCCGATCCTCATGCGATCCAGATGCGGACCACGCCCTCCACCTGGGAGCACTCGGCGGTGTCTCCCCTGGCATTGGGCCTCCCAAGATGCACCCAACCCCACTGGTGAACCCCCCTCTTCCCCCTCTTCTCCACTCCCAACTAACAATGTGGTCCGAGGTGATGTTGGCGGTGTTGTATTGGTAAAAGTTGAGGGTGGAGGTCTTGCCCACGATCAGGGTGCGGTAGCAGTACCCCTCCATGTCGTCCAGGCTCCTGCAGGGCGGAGGGGAGGAGGGGCCCTGGGCGCGAGAGGGAGGCGGGGTGATTGCGTCGGGGCTCGTGTAGCCCGCGCCCTGTGCTCCAGTGACGCCATCTCATGCTGGTCCCCGGCGCCGGGGTAAGACACCAAGGCCCCACTGTGACAGCCCTGCAGTCCCAGGCGCACCGGATGTCCTCGGTCATGGAGTAGTACATGTGGCGCCAACGATTGTGGACACTGGCATCTGCAGGGAAGTGTGGCGGGGCAGCAGAGCGGTCAAATGCTGTTCAACCCAATCAGCTTGCAACCCCAGCCACCACTGGCACATGCGCCCACAACCCCATCTGCGTGCCCCCCCACACGCCCACGCGCCAACCCCGTCCATGGCGGTGCAGCGCAGACGCCCCCCCCCCCCCCGCCCCTCTTCCCCCCTTCCTCCCTCGCGTACCGGTGTAGTAGACGATGAGGGGCGCGCCGTCAAACCTGCGGTAGCTGACCACCCCTGGCGTGCACCACGCCTGGTTCTTGGGGTCGCAGCGCCTCTCCTTCACCAGGCCTGCAAAGCGGGTTGGGATTGATGTCCGGCGCTCAGTGTCAAGCAGCCTGCGGCGATCACTCTCTGACTCCACCCAGCCATCCGCCGGCCCTTGGCAGAGTGCGCAGGTGTCCCCAGCTCCCATCCCTCACCCCTCCACCGTACCCTTCTTGGTACACGTCTTGCCGGGGCGCACCGTCTTGGTGACGGGGTCGTACTCTGCGGCACACTCGTCCCCGCCCATACCCTCCACCACCTCCCTGCAGGGTGGCATGAGGGGAGGGGTTTCGAAGGAGGGGGATGAGGAGGCCGCATGGGAGGTGCATGGACGCACTGGATGACAGCCCCACTGACAGTCCAGGCCCTCAATGCCAGGGAATGCACACTCTGTGGTGCCCCTGTCACATCGCATCGGCTGGAGGGCGAGGGGCATGGTCTCTGCGGTCCGCGAGGCACGCTTGCCCGTCCTTCCAAGCAAGGTACGCATGGGCGCCCCCGGCTCCCAAGCCCCACGCACCGCATGTACCCCTCCGCGTCGATCTGGACCAGGGGCAGGTACCCCAGCTCGCGCAGGGTCTGGAATATGCCGGCCAGGCCCTCGTTCCAGGAATGCCAGATGTTGGACCTGGGTGGAGGTGACGTGGAGTGGGCGGGGGCAGGTTAGGCGAGCCTGCGCATGACAGCGGGTGCGCAGGCAGGGCCGAGCAGGCCTCTTCAATGATCCTTGACATCGAATTGAAAGAGGTGGGCAACGGAGGCTGGGGTCGGGGGCTTGGTTGGCGACAAAGGCCAGCAAGAACCCAGAGCAACCGTGTTCCCTTTGATCACCACCGCAGCTCCTCATCGCATCTGGTAAACGGGCAAGCCCCCTCACTACCCCGCCACGTACGCGTAGCGGACTTGGAGCAGGTACGCCGGCTTCTCGATCCAGCCCTTGCACACCGGCTGCTCCTCGGCCGCCGGCACATACGAGACGTTCATGTAGTATCTGCAGGGGTGGTGTGGAGGTTCAAGGCAGGTTAGATAGGCCCAGCGCCCCCCACGTGCCGCACATCACGCTCCGCGCATCGCCTGCCTGCCTTCAGGCCCTGGACCGATCTCAGCTGCCCTTTCCACCCAGCGCTCACGTGAGGATGCCAGTGACCTCGCCCTTGATGACCAGCTTGGTGGGCAGGTCAGGGGTGGTGGAGTTGCCGCTGATGTAGTCCACCCACCGCTCCGCAGGGGGCTGGAAACCTGCGGGATGGAGAGGGCGGCAGGGGTTGGAGGGGGCACTGGCCGGTGCCCGCCATGGTCGACACCGGTTCCAGACTTGGCCCTGAACAACTGCAACTGGCATGGCTTGTCAGATGAACCCGAAGACTTGCAGGTGGCTACGCTGACTGACAAGGCTGAGAATCATGTCCATTGCAGCAAGGGGCCACGTCCTGCCCATGCGAGCAATACCAGCTGGGGCGCACACCTTCCGGGTAGAAGAAGCGTAGCTCTTTCCGTGTCAGCTGCACGTTGGAGAAGCGGTAGTAGTGCTTGACCATCTGCCCCTTGGAGTCGGGCACCACTTGGACGGTGGCCTCTGACACCACTCCGGGCGCTGGCTTGCCGGCCGGAGACCCTGACGCCGCCTGCTGAGCCCCGACGGCGCCCGCGTGGATCTGGGACAGGGCTTCACTGGCTGGCTGCACCTTGCCGGCGATCTGCCGTGCCTGGCTGGCCTCCTGCTGCGCCCCGCTGCTGCTGGCCTGGCGGCCTGCATCTACAGCCTGCTGTTGAGCCCCAGTCTGAGGTATCTGATTGGTCGCGACGCCATCTGAAGCCACGGGCACCGGCGGTGGCTGGATGTTTAGACTGCGCTCCGGCTGACGGGGGGGTGTCCCCGCCTGGACGGCTGGAGGGATGCTTTCACTGCCCAGGGAGCTCTCTGTGACATGCTGGGCCGGCCGAAGGGTGTCGTAGTCGACCGTGGTGGGCGTGTGCCCTGCACCTGTGCATGCCGACGGGGGGGATCCGGGTGCGGATGGGCACGACCTCGGCACACACCGGGCAGCAATGGTTGGGGCCTCTGCCCTCACTGGCCAAGATCCTGATCGCACCGGAATACTTGGAAGTAGGGGCACTTGCCAGTGCCCAGATGAGCAGGAGCAGCCATGATGTGTACAGGAGAACTTTGCACGATCGTCGTTGCCAGACCCGGACATTCCCTTGCCCGCCAGGCTGCAGGGTGGCACTGGATGATGAGAAGCGCAGACAAGCTGCTTTCTAAAGCATTCTTAAATTTAAAGCCACCATACCCATTGCGTACCCGTGGACGAACGAATCTCGAGGGCCTGTCCATTGTGCGCCACGCCTTGGTCGCCTCGGCAGTACGCAGTGAATCAGACCATCACCATCATGGGAGCTAAATTTGACATCCCATGAATGTCTCGATGATGGTGGTAACGTACAGGACTGATGTGATGTCGCCTCCTCCCTGCATCTGATTGCATCCAGCCGGCTCGACGGCCCCCTGGTATGCGCGTTGGCTCGGAGTGTTGTATTCGATTCTGGATTTAACAAGTGCTTCCCGCCACGTCTCCCAGGCCGCATGCCCGATACCCGCTATTTTGACCAAACTCACTGTTACGGGAAGCTCAGTGTCTGTTCAGCTTTCAACGGTGGTGCATCTGAAGGAGTCGGCCACCTTCTGTAGGGTCTCGCCCCCTGGCCCCTCAACAGCCGACATGGGTGCCTGCAACCGCATGCTGTACAGGCGGCCGTTGGCCGTCCCCAGCACCGTCAGGTACTGCCTGTCCCACTCCAGCTCGGTGCCGGCATCGATCTCTCTCTGGGACACGGCCAGCTGGTTGCGTGAGGCGTAGGACCGGGCTCGCAGCCTTATGTCGTAATAGATCCTGCCGTCGTCGGCAGTGCGCTCAGTGGCACTCGTGATCTCGGCCTTCCGCTTCACTCCCAGCCGGGTGGACATGTACTCCTTTTTGAACTGCAGCGAGGCAATGGCTGGGATGGGTGCACTGTGGGATGCCGCAGTGCAACTGCTGGGCAATGACAACGGTATGTTGGACCGCAGAATCAGAGCAAGCAGCCAGCACATGACCCCAGGCAGTGCCCACCTGACTCAGGAGGCCCTCGGCAGCATCCTGGGGGCTCTTCAAATCAGTCACCGCCGTAAACTTTGTAGAGGTGGGGGAGCTCACGTCCACAAACAGGGTCTGCTCCACATCGTAAGGGTTGCGATAGAATACATCGTTCCCGGATGTCTGCGGGGGAGGTGGGACAGCGGTGTGACACTTGTGAGGGTGCTGACCTGACTGGAGACCATGGGCTTACACCATAGATTTAGTCCAGCATGTAGAGGTGAACAATTAAATTGGAGGCAGACCCAGCAGGTCACCCATGTTGTCCTCACACACCGTCACAAACTGCCATGGAGTTGGCACTAGGAAGTTGTAGCCATCCAGGATGTCCTGATGACGCTTGAAACCTGTCAAGTACAGGGATTGCTAGGGAAACATTTAAGTCGCATGCCTCAAGCAACGACCATAGAAACACATCAGCTCTGTATAGGATGGCCATCATGACGTACCAGGTGGTGAAGGAAGCTTGGACAGGTTCTCGACGGCGAATGCTGGTGACGCTCCAAACGCTGCAAGGGCCATGCCGTAGCCCAGAATGACCCGCCGGCCCATTCGCAGATCATGTGGGATGGGGTGCTCGCTGGAGTCGGGCGCCTCCGCCATGCAACACACCATAGGACCTGTATATCGCATTCTGCCCATAGTACATGGCTTTGTTGGCAGCTTCCTCTGCATCGGGCATGGGTGCGGGCCATCATGAATTACGCTGGGTGGTGTGCGTGCGGAGCCCGCAGCTTTCATAACGGTCGCCATTCCTCACGCCTGGATCATGCCATTGACAGCGAGTGACACGATGCAGGCTGTTAGGCAGTTGGATGTACAAATGGTTTTCACGGCCCGATCCATATGCAGCATGCACATCATGCCAGCGCGCTTCGAACGGCAAGCACCAGATGGGGTTCTGAGAGGTCTGCATCACACCAATCTTCTGCCCTTGTCATGGTACAGCTGCCGTGCATGCTACAGCATCAAGACTGGACGAGGAGTCGAAGACGTTGTTACCTTCTCATACCCATCTGACTCGCTGCTCGGTGTGTTTCAATTCCTATGTTCACCTCTGGGTAGTAATGATTTGTCATGCAGTGCTTTAAAAAACGCAGATGGCATGGAGAAGCCATCACGTAGCAACTGTATTTATATATGCTACACTTTTTGTCAAATGGTTGCAATGTTTTCCCATGCACGTTCAGCAGGAGTCGTTGATTTCTGCCCCCCAGCCGTAATCTTACTGATATGCAAGATGGAGTGGTGGGGCGCAGAAAATTGGACTGGCCCTTGCGTTGGCGACAGCATCCACTCAGCATGTCCTGGAAGCCTCCTTGTATACTCATCCAAGAGCTACGCATGGCCTGGGCTTGACATAGTGCAAGGCAATTTGATTCTGCTTACCACGGTCCAGTAAAATCCACCATAGCAAGACACAGTGGCCGCTCCACCATGCACAGCAGTCGGTGCACTGTGATCAATTGCGCCGCCAGACAAAGCATAGGGAGTGTGCCCTCATGGCATCCCCAGAAACTTGTCTATGGGTGGGCAGCTGCGGCATGGACAGTGAGGCTCGCCGGATTCTCGCCCGTGCGAGGCTTCCAGAACAATCCAATACCTTTACATGCATGCCCCCGTGCTTCGATAGTTCCAGCACTGGGTCTGGAGCACCATGGGGGGGATTACAAATCCGAGGGGCTCACGTAAAATTTGTTCGAACCTCCCGGAGGGGTGTGGCCGAAGAGCGGTATCTACCACTCGTTGGCAACAACCACATAGAACAATCATTCTCTGGGATTTTGTAAGGCTGCTATATAATCGGTGTGCACGACGAAGTCCACTCTTGTACGACTCCTGTCGGCAACCATGACTGCGACTAGCCCCCTCAAGACGAAGGTCGCCATTATTGGCAGCGGCCCCGCTGGGCACACCGCAGCCATCTATGCAGCACGAGCAGGTACTGTTTTCTGGACAAGCAAAGTCCCATGGTCATGCCGGCAAGTCTGGGTTTCCCCGGTGATCTCACCGCCAGTGGGTGTGCGAGGCATGCGGAGTCAGTGCTCCTTTTGCTTTCGAGTTTGCCCAACCTCATTCATTCAAATCGACCTTTTCCTATGCAGAGCTGCACCCGGTCATGCTGGAGGGCTGGATGGCCAACGGTGTGGCCCCCGGAGGCCAGCTCACCACCACCACCGACCTGGAGAATTCCCGGGTTTCCCGGAGGGCATCCTGGGGGTGGAGATCACCGACAAGTTCAGGGCGCAGTCGGAGCGTTTCGGCACCAAGATCTTCAGTGAGACCGTGAACAAGGTGTGTGCGAGGGGCCGCAGGGGGGCACCACACCGTGCTTGTGTGGCATGCCGCCTGCGGCCTGCCCTGCTGCTCAATCGACGTGGACCAGGTAATTTCTCTCACAAGCTCGCGCCGACTAATCCCCACAGGTGGACCTGTCCAGGCGGCCCTTTGTCATCAGCACGGACGAGCGGCAGGTCGTCGCGGACGCCGTGATCATCGCCACTGGCGCCGTCGCGCGGCGGCTGGAGTTTCCTGGGTCCGAGGAGGGCACGGGGTACTGGATGAAGGGCATCTCCGCCTGCGCCGTGTGCGACGGCGCCGCGCCCATGTTCCGCAACGTCCCCATCGCCGTCATCGGCGGCGGTGACTCTGGTCAGTTCGACCGTGTGCGGCCTTGGGTGGACGGGAGGAAGGGGAGGGGGGCTCGGAAGCAGTGCGGGACGGTGCTGAGAAGGGGTTTGTCGAAGCGCCTGCCGCCGATTGGGTGATCTTCCCAAGATTCGTGCTGAGTCCTCAGCTTGACGGTGGCACTGGCAGGCCGTACCCCTGGTCTGTTGGACTGACCGGCGGCCCGTCCTCCTCACCGCCCCTCTCCCTCACCCCCTCCCTCTCGTGGCTCTTCTCTGTGCAGCCATGGAGGAGGCCAACTTCCTGACCAAGTACGGCAGCAAGGTGTACATAATTCACCGCCGCGACGAGTTCCGTGCCTCCAAGATCATGCAGGTTGGTGGTGGCAGCCGAGTGTGTGTTTTTGCTGGGGTCGAGGCCTTGCCATATTCCGTTGGTTTGGACAATGATACCCTTCATGTGCCCTGCTTTCCCGCAACTCTCCCCCCTCGTCATCACTCCCATTCACTCGCTCCGTCCCATCGCAGAAGCGCGTGCTCGACAACCCCAAAATCGAGGTGCTGTTCAACAGCGTGGTCACAGAGGCCTTTGGGAATGAGAAGGGCAACCTGGGCGGCCTGAGGCTGAAGAACACGGTGACGGGCGAAGAGTCCAGCATCGATGTGAGCGGCCTCTTCTTCGCCATTGGCCACGACCCTGCCACAAAGTTCCTGGACGGACAGGTTGTGTGTGTTTGAAGGGGAGTGGAGGGAGGTCAGATTGGGTGTGCAGAGCGCCGGTGTGATATGTGTGTGCTCTGGTCGAGTCTGGGGATGTTTCCCAGCAGCCTGCTGGGGTATTCCCTGGGAACTCGGCTCGTTTCTGCTGCCTAATCATTTGCTGTTCTTGTGTCCAGTTCTTGTCTGGAGCCTTTGTGTGCCCGGCTGCTGCACTCATGCCCAACGATGAACACTACAGCTCCCAGCGCCCAGCCCTGCTACCCACCCCCACCCCTTCTAACTCGTCTGACCCCTCGCCCCACACTCTGCAGTTGGAGCTAGACAGTGAGGGATACATAGTGACTGCCAATGAGTCCACGGCCACGTCTGTGGAGGGCGTATTTGCGGCTGGGGATGTGCAGGACAAGAAGTGGCGACAGGCCATTACGGCGGCAGGCACAGGTAGCGTGGAGGGTCAGGCGGGAGGCACGGGGTGGGGATCGCAGGCTTGATGGGGAGAGAGGGGGGCGCGCTGCGCACATCCAGTCAAGGGCCACCTGAAGAGTTCCGGCTTGCTCCAGAACACAAGTTGGACTGTCTCTTACAGATCTGAGCGGTCGGTAGGCCCGCTCCACACCACCAAGCAAGTCCATTCCACACCTTGCACAGGCTGCATGGCGGCTCTGGAGGTGGAGCACTTTCTCACTGCTCACCAGGAGTGAGAACCTTCACCAACGCCACACAGCCCGCCTCTGATGCACCAACAGCACCTCCCGAATTGCCCTGGGGATGGGCCCTCGCACTGCCAGCACTGCCACGAACTCAGACTGCGCTTGGAAAGGTTGTACACTATGCACGGGGCCCGGGTCAGCAATCTCAGCCCAGGAGGATGGGAATGGGAGCAGCGCACGTGAGGAATATACTAGTAGAAATCGGAGAGAGGCAACTAGTGCAGATCTGCTCACGGCACGACGGCGGCATGGCAAGCGAGTGGGGCGGTCAGTAGTGGATGCGGTCGGTCAACTCGGAGTAGGTCTTCCAGGGCACCACCGCCTCCTCCCTCAGGTACTGCTTGATCTTTACGTTCTTGTCCTCGTCGGACGCGTTGATCTCGGCCAGGAAGTCGGCATCCTCGAACTGGCCGTACTTCTTCACGTCGTCGTAGGTGGCGCCGCTGTGAGAGTTTTGGGGAGGGGGAAATGGTTGGTAGGGATCCAGCCAGGGTCGAGGGCATGAATTCTGTCCATCAGCCACATACCCGCTGCCGCAGGTCACGCACAGCCACACCGGCCTCGAGCTTGGCCGCCTGGCTTCCTGGGCTTATCTAGTACTCCAACTGCTCCCTTCCTCTCCATTTCCCCTCTCGCTAACTCACTAGTAGATGGCTTCGACATGGGCCCACAGACTGCTGGCATAGCACATGGGGCAGGGCTCTGCCGAGGTGTACAGCACACAGCCTTCCAGCACGTGGGTCCCCAGGTTACGACAGGCGTTGCGGATGGCCAGCACCTCGCCGTGCCTGCAATGTGAGGGGTGGGAGACCGATTACCATCGCGGGGCCTCGCCACCTGGGGGCATGCGCCGGAGCAAGGTCGCCGCGCATGCAGCGCATCCCGAGTATGAGAGGAACCATCCACGCGACCTACGCAGTGGGATCATGGTCGGCCAGGACGCCTGCGGTGAAGAGGAGGCGAGCATGTGTGGCAATTGTGTCGGGAGGGCCGCGCCGAAACCCTCAGGCCCCCAAACCCACTCACGGTTGTAGCCCTCGCCCACGATTTCTCCCGTCTCCTTGCGCACGAGGACTGCTCCAAAAACTCCTCCTGTACGCTCTTCGATGCCCGCTTTGGCGCTCAACTCGATGGCGCGGCGCATGTACTTTGGGTCGGGATGTTGCACCATCGCTGCAATGTAGGGTACCGTGCGAGCTCTCGATGTGGGTTCGGGATGGTGATTCGACAATAAATTGTCAAAGCTCAAGAAATGTGCAGTATGGGGAACATCCGGAAATTCAGCAGATCTCTGCCAAACCTCGTCCGGTCCCCTACAATACCCCGTACTGAGGGGGGAGGACGGGAGGGCGACTTCCAGATATGGTCGGAGCAGACCTCCTGTATTTATCCTCATCGACACACCACAAGGATCCCAGGGAGTCAATGACACACTTTCTCATACCTGGCGACATGGTACGCGCGGCAGCCCTGGACATCCCGCACCATTCTTCACAGCCTGCGGCTTGATCTGCGGCTACCCTTACCGCCTCCCTGGCTTCATTGTTTAGCATATCATGGTGACGGTGCTCCAACCCGGCGGTCCGTGGAATCAGTTGGCCAGCGCATCGTGAGTTTGAGACATGGGAGGGGGGCCGTGTCGGAATTGGGCGTGCCGGAATGAGCGGCGCGAGACTGCGCCTGAGCTGCGACTCCCTCCCACCAAGCGCAGGTTCCTGCTGTCTGCCCTGGTTTCGGATCTCCTAATCCTGCGCCTCTTCCTCTTTGCGGCCTACATCTTTCTCTTCGCGGCGGCGCTGACGGGCTACCCCCGATTCCCCCGGTGGGGCTGGCAAGGTGGGGCACCTACAAGGCGCTCACAGCGCCGGGAGGTGGGAGTGCGGCACCCTCCCGGGCAGGTGACTGCCCTGCCAAGCTCAGTACCCATATCAACTCCCACCTTTCTCCCGCCCCACCCCCCATCCACAGATGCGATATCCGTGGACGGCCTGGCCTGGTCCTCCACCATCATCGTCTTCCACGGCTACGCGGTCTGGCGGCACCTGTGGGACGAGCGCCCCATCCGCTTCAGGAGCGAGGACGAGGAGCAGCTGTGGCGCCTGTTCCACCGCCGCAGCGGCATGTACCGCCTGGAGATGAGCGAGTGCCTGCGCTATGGGCGCTGGGCGCGGTACGCCGCGGGCGACGTCATCGTGACCCCGGGCGCCAGCCACCTCCGCCTGCACCTGGTGGTGGAGGGCCTGGTGGAGCTGGAGGTGGACCACGGCGCGGGCAAGGAGCGGGTGCTCAACACGCTGCACTCCGGCACCATCTTCGACTTTGGCGTGGCCAACGTCTTCGGCGTGTACATTGGCTTCGAGTGCGCGCAGGACGTGGGCTTCACAGCCCGTGCAAAGGTGGGCATGTCTTTTGATGTGTTGTGTGTGTACGTTGTTGGCGGGTGGGGGGTTGTGGGGGGAGAGGGATTTCGGATGCAGGAGAAGGGGGTGGCGTACTGGCCGGAAGGGGGCTGGTCAAGAGTGCACCGACCCCTGCCGCCCCTCCTTCACCGCCTCCTCTCAACCCCACGACCCTCAACCCAGACCGACTGCCTGCTGTACGAGTGGTCCATCGACGACCTGGAGGTGTTTGCCAGCCGACTGTCGCCCTCTGTGCCTGCCTTCTGGCGCTCCTTTGTGCTCTGCGAGGTGGGGCTGGAGTATGCGGGCCGCGTCCACCCCGCCCGCGGCACGCGCTCCGCCAACGGCGAGTGGGAGGGCCCTGAGTACGAGGCCGGGGCCCGCTCCCGAGACTTCACCGAGCCGCTGCGCCCCGAGGAGCTGCCTCCGCGCCGCGGCCTCTGGGGCACCCTGCGCGCCGTCCTGCGCGTGTTCGACCCGCTCCCGCCCGCCGGCCTGCGCCACTGCAGCACGCCCATGAGCGGCGTCATGGCGCGCAACCGCCTGGCGGCGGTGGCGGCCGCCAAGGGGCTGGAGCAGCGTGCCACGCTGCAGGAGGAGGAGCGGGCGCAGGACGACGTGGAGGCCGCCAAGGCAGTGGCCGGCGTCAAGTGACGAGGGGGATATTTATCATGCCCTGTTCAGAGGTCGCTGTGACCCTCTTCATCGACCCAGGCGGCGCACAGCGGGTCTCTTCCCAGCAGCGCCGCCTTCCTTCTCCGGTGACATTGCATCCCATTGCACATGACCTGCTCCCTTGCTCACCTTCATCAGTCACCAGGCCATGAACTACCTCCCCCACCTCTGCTACGACCCAGATCCCTGTCCTACCACCCCCCTCCTACCACCCCCTCCTACCACCCCCCTCCTACCACCCCCTCCTACCACCCCCCTCCTACCACCCCCCTCCTACCAACCCCCTCCTGCCATTGCATGGCATGTAGTATACAGCAGCGATTGTGGCCCTCGGGCCACACGTGCGGCGTGAGTGGGCCAGCAGCGCACATCCAGCGGGTGAAGTGTTGTCGGCCATGGCCAGAGTGAGGGGAAAGAAAGGAACAGGGGGGGGGGGGTGCACGCACACAGTGACACACAGGGTCCCAAGGGGGGGATCCACCAGGGGCCCTCACCCCACCAGCCGCGGGCAGGCGGGGGGAGGGCGCAAGGGGCGGGCCGCTCCTGGGGGAACGGTCGGGACGGGGCGGGGCCCCGCTCTCAAAGCGTCCGGGGGTGTGGGTGGGGGGAAGGGGCCAGCGTGCGCCTTGGGCACAAAGACCCGTCTGGCAGCTGGCCCCCTCGGACCCCTCCCCAGAGCTCGGGCGCCGGCGCCCCGGCAATGGGGCAGGGGGGGGCCCATTCGCGTCCCATACGGAACCAAAACTTGGGACGTCAAGTATGGAGAGAAGACGATACGTCAGGCAGCAACGGGTGCGGGGACTGGCGAGTGGGTCTGGGGGGCGAGGGACCTGGGGGGGGGGTGAGAGTCGGAGGGGGGAGCCTTGCGACGCACGATCGCCTCGACCGGCCCCCTCCTGCCTCGACACCACCCTCCATGCCATCGCCTCAGGCCCCCTTGGCGGGCTTGGGGTCGGGAATCTCATGCGACCCCAGCGCGGCCGACCCCGGGAAGGTGGCGCAGGCGGGCGCGCAGACCGTGGCCTCCTCGCCGCCCTCTCCGATCTGGGAGCGCCAGTAGGCCGCGGCACCCTCGATGTGGGGCATGGCTGCGGCCACGAAGTTGGGCGCCAGCCCCTCCACCAGCTTGAGGCAGGGGGTGAGGAAGATGTTGATGAACTTGAGCTGGCCGCAGGCCACGGGCGCGGAGGCACGGTCGCAGACGGCGGTGACCTCCAGCCCCAGCGCGCGCTCCAGGTCGCCCTGCTTGTACATCTCGTCGTGGATCTTGCGCCCCCACACCATGCAGTGGTGCAGCGGACGCGCGGGGTTGGAGATGTCGGCGGTGTGCAGCAGCATCTGCAGCGCCTTGACCCGCGCCTCCCCCGGCCAGGCCACCAGGTCGGGCCCCAGCTCGGCCAGCGTGTCGGCAAAGTCGTCCAGCGCGGCCGCGTGGTAGGCCATGTCGGTGCACAGCACCATGGCCTCCACCAGGCGCAGGAACTCGGCGCGGTCCTCAGGCGGCAGCCGGCAGATGAAGTCGTTCTCGGGGCGGCGCAGCAGCTCGAAAGCCAGCGCGACGTGCATCGACTCGTTCACCGACTTGCCGCCGCACTGCTTGGCGCAGTCTGCCTCGGTGCGCACCAGGAAGGCGTTCTGCACGCCCGGGTGCCCCAGGTCGTGCACCGCGCCGGCGATCAGCAGCGCCAGCTGCTCCAGCGGCGTCAGCGCCGCGCCGTAGGCGTCCATGGCCAGCATGGCGCCCAGGGCCTGGGTCACGTCCGCCGCGTGCGTGGAGTTGTGGTAGGGATTGGGGCAGTACGCGCGCTCCGCGGCGCGCAGGAAACTGCTCAGCCGGTCCTCGGGGATGGGCAGCGCCTCCAGCACGCCGCGGCGGCGCAGCAGCTCCATGCACACCGCGTGCAGGGGCTCGCCGCCGGTCAGCTTCTCCAGCACGAACACGTCGAAGCGCTCCCAGTCCTCCATGCGGTCCAGCATCTCCTGCAGGGTCAGGCGGCGCGGGGTCACCGCGCCGCATGGGCGGGGGGGCGGCGACTGCAGCACGGGCTTCTGCGGCGTGGGTGAAGGGGGCGAGGGGGGTGAGGGAGAGGTTTGGAAAGGTTCCACAGGCCCAACTTGACGAAGGCCTGTGGGCGTGAGGCGAGGCCTTGGTGGTCCAACAGCCCCGTTGCAATGCCGCCCAGCGCACCCTGCACACACCTTCCCACCAGTGTGCGCACATGCACCTGGGAAGAATATCCTGCGAGGGTCGACTGCGGGTCGGAAATCCCATTCCCCCCAAGAAACCCCAGCCGCCCGCCCAGCCAGCGCACACTACCTGGGGGCCTGCTGCGGGCACATGCTTGTACGTGAACGACCTCAGGTAGGCCCTCTGTTCATCATCCAGCCACACCATCTCGCCGTTGCCGCCCTCACTCCGGGCCAGCCAGGAGTGGAGCCGGAGGAGGGCAAACTGCTCCTCAGCATCCAACTCGTCCTTCCGCTACACGAAAGGAAATCAGGGGGCGAGCGTGGTCGGCGTGTGCATGCGGAGAGCCGCGTGAGAAGGGTTCCGGACCCTTCCGAGACCAACCTTGAAGTGTTGCACGACATTGAAGGCTTTCCGGGCGATGGGGGTGTCCAGGAAGCGCAGCAGAACGGAGCCAGACATGGTCGGAGGATGGACCCTCAGGAGACTACGGCCAGCAGTCGGGTTGCCATTTGGGGGGGTAATAGTGTGGTGTTGGGCTCTACAAGGCCGTTCCGGGGTGACGCGTTGCGAGTTCCACACTTTCGAGCGCGGAACCTGGCAGGGGGAGCTGAGTCGGACCAAGTGTCGGAGGCCGGGGAGCCGTGTAATTCACGGAGGACGTTGCAGAGCTTTCGAGACGGTAAGAGACGCGGTCTGGTGATCCTTAAGTAGCGCGAGCAGGGGAGGATCACGTAGAGCCTGAAAAATTAGCAAGAGGACTTTCCAAATTAGAAAGCACGACCAGAAGATTTTCTGTATTGATTTCTGGGGCACCACCTCCTTCCTGAGCACACCGTCCCCATTGCTCTTACCTCCGAGAGGAGAGCGATATGTGGGCATCTTTCGTTGCATCTCGGATATTATTAGCATCTACCTGCATGCAGACTTCAGAAATGTAGGGCCGAGGTGCAGGCTGGCACCAGCATGAGCTCCGACGAGCAGGAGAATGATCGCTTCGATGTGGACAACGACTACGAAGGTGGCGAATTTATCGAGGGCGAATATTTTTACAGGAATAAGCGATTCAAAAAGCAGCAAACCGCAGAGGACAGGATCTATGGCGTGTTTGCCGAATCAGGTGTGGGCAGTGGATTGTGGGGATGACCAGCCATTCGAGCATGCATCTCATTCGACTCCCATGTCCACTGTTTCTCAATCCGATCCATACCCCCAATAGATGATGAGGAGGACGGGAGGCGCACCCGGCGTAGGGAGCAAGGGCGTGCCTCCAAAGACTACTCACGCCCAGTGGCTTTTGTTGGCGGAGGCGTGGTCCAGCATGGGCCCGAGGAAGTTGCTGAGAAGCCTTCAGAAGGTGCGTGGAGTTGGGAGTGAGCCCGCTGCAGCAGGACGCTGTGCTGATCGTGGCAGCGCCAGGTCCAACATGGTCTTTGCACGGCATCCGCTCATCATGCCAACCATTTCGTCTACCTGTCTGCAGGAGAAGATCGACCGCGTGGGGGTCTGGGTCTAGGTACAGAGCCCTCGACCATGGGCGGACTGGGGCTGGGCGCTGCTCCGCCCTTCGAGGGCGGCGGCCTCGGCTTCGCCAGGGCCGGTCTGGAGGCCGACCCCTCGATCAGCAACCGGCCGCATGGGGCACCTGCGGACGACGGTGGCAGCGAGGACGACGATGGCGTGCTGCCCGAGGCCTTTGGACGCCAGCTCGCGGCTGCCGCCCGGCAGAGGGCCGCTGCTGCTGCTGCTGCGGCGGCGGCCACGCAGGCTGCTTCGTGGCGAGCGCCTGCATCCCGGCCCGGGATCGGCGGGGGGGGCCGCCCCTGCCCCCGAGGCCACCGGGACATTTGAGTCGCACACCCGCGGCATCGGGGCCAAGCTGCTGTCCAAGATGGGCTGGCAGGCTGGCAAGGGCCTGGGCAGGGACGGCAAGGGTAGGGTATCGGGGGGGCCGGGGGGATCAGGCTAGTTTTTGGTGAGTTGATTGTGTTTTCTTCCACGCTATCCCATCATACAGTCCTTGCAGCGTGCTCCACCTGCACTCCCACTGGGTGCATCCAACCTCTCGCCCCGGCTCCCCCCCAATCCCTGCCCATCCTCCTCCCGTCGGCAGGGCATCGCCAAGCCGCTGGAGGCCCAGATGCGCCCCAAGGGCATGGGCATGGGCTTCGGCAGCCGGCCCGAGCCCAAGCTGGTGCAGCCGGAGCCCAATGCCCAGGCTCACAGCGCGGGCCCGTCGGCCGCCACCGCATCGCCACCCCCCGGCGCGGCCACCCCCAGCGCCGAAGCCCGGGCCTGGAAGCGGCGCGACGCGGCGGCGCGCGAGCGACGCGCCTTCCGCACCGCGCAGGAGGTGCTGGACGCGGGCGGCGCGCCTCCTGCCACCCTGCTGTCCCAGCCCGTGATCGACATGCGGGGGCGGGGCGGCGCGCGCGTGCTGCGCGACCTGGCGGGCCTGGAGGTGGTGGAGGACCGCGATGGGGGCGGCGAGTCCGCGACCCTGGGCCCCATGCCGGAGCTGGCGCACAACCTGCGCCTGCTGGTCGAGCTGGCCGAGTCAGGCATCCAGCGCCTGGACGCGCGCCTGCGCGGCGAGCAGGACTCCGCGCTCCTGCTGGGCCGGGAAGCGGCGCGGCTGGAGGAGGAGGCGCGCGCGGCGGAGGCGCGCGTCCAGGCGCAGGCCGCGCTGCTGGACGCCTGCGAGCGCGGGGAGCGGGAGACGGATGCTATTGCGCTGGCGGGCTTGTACGCCAGCCTGCGCACCGAGCTGCGAGAGGAGTTTGAGGCGCGCGACGTCGCAGCGGTTGCGGCGGCGCAGGCCGCGCCGCTGCTGGCGCGGTGTCTCGCAGGCTGGAGCCCGCTGGGTGACCCCGCGCGTGGCGCGGCGGCGCTGGCGCCCTGGCGCGCCGCGCTTGCGCCCGCGCGCCCCGCCGACGCGCCGGTGCTGGCGGGCGCCTGGGGCGGGGGCGGCGCCTGGGACGGGGACGCCTGGTCCCGCCTGCTGGCGCAACTGGTGCTGCCGGGCCTGCGCCGCGAAGTCACCAACGCCTGGGACCCCAGGTTGGTCGGAGTGGGGGGTGAAACGGGGCTTATTTGTGTGTGGTGGTGGGTGAAAGGACTGCAAATGGCGGCTCCCGGTGTGAGCGCTGGGCAAAGGTGGTGGTGCATGACGGTTCGCCCTCGGCACGCTTCTAGGTTGTGAACTCCTGGGCTCGGCTGCGATGCCTCTTCTCGGTGTCCTGCCGGGCGATGCCCGCTTCCTTGCAGCGCCAGCTGCCCGTGGCGTCACCCTGTTCACCTCGCAGTCGGCACCCCCCTAACCCCCCAACCCCCCTTCCCCTCCAGGGACCCGGCCCCGCTGGAGGGCTTCCTGGCGGAGTGGGAGCCGTTGCTGCCCCCTCCCCTGCTGCAGCACGTGCTGACGCACCTGGTGCTGCCCGCGCTGGAGCGCGCGCTGGCGGCCTGGGACCCGCTGCGCGACACGGTGGCCCCGCACACTTGGCTGCACCCCTGGCTGCCTTCCCTGGGCCCGGCGCTGGAGGGGCAGTGGCCCGGCGTGCGGCACCGCCTGGCCTCCGCGCTGGCCGGCTGGCACCCGTCGGACGGCTCGGCGCTGGCGCTGCTGGCGCCTTGGGCGCGCGCCTGGGGCGCCGGCGAGTGGGAGGCCTTCCTGGCGCGCGCGGTGCTGCCGCGCCTGGCCGCCGCGCTGGGCGCCATGCCCGTCGACCCGGGGGCCCAGGACCTGGCGCCCTGGGACTGGGCCATGGCCTGGCATGGCGCCGCGCCGCCGGACGCGCTGGCGCGCGTGCTGGACGTCGCCTTCTGGCCGCGCTGGCACGCGGTGCTGGCGCACTGGCTGGGCGGCGCGCCCGACATGGACGAGGTCACCGCCTGGTACCTGGGCTGGCGCTCACTGCTGCCGCGCGAGCTGCTGGCGCTGCCGCGCGTGCGCGCGCACATGGCCTCGGCCCTGGACGCCATGAACGCCGCGGCCGACGGCCGGCGCCCGGGGCCGACGGCTGGGGCCGGGGCCGCGGCGGCGGGGGCGGGATCCGCCCCACCCGGTTCACGGAGTAGCGCCGCCCCCGCGCCGCCGCCGCCTGCCCGACCACCACCACGCGGAAGGCAGCCCTCCGAGCTGAGCCTGCGCGAGCTGCTGGCCGCACACGCGGAGGAGGTGGGCGTCGCCTTCCTGCCGCGGCCCGGGCGCCGGCACCTGGGCCTGCAGGTGTACCTTTACGGCGCCATCAGCTGCGCGGTGGACGCGGTGGGCGGCCTCATCCATGCGCACATGGGCGAGCGGGGCTGGGTCCCCATCTCCATGCAGGGCCTGGACGAGGAGAACGAGCGGCGCCTGGCCGCGCGCGCCGCGAAGAAGTGAGCGCAAAGGGCTGCGCCCTTCCTCGGGCACATGCGCCTTCGATTCTGCACATTTGGTCCGACCCCCAGTCCCAGTTCTTTTTTGTCGCCGCCGCTCTGGCATTGCCATGCCATTCCCCCGCTCGCGCAAGCTCGAAAAGACGAGGGGCAGATCGCAAAAGGGTAAAGGGCCAGATGCAGCGAGCAAACAGCGCTGGAAGGGCGACGATGCTGGCATGCATGCCAATGTCCTGCGGCGCCGTTTCTTAGACTCTGCCACTCACGCCCACAACCTAGGCTTTCCGATCCCTGACCTCGACGCCGTTGGCGCCTGCAATGATGCAGACATCCACCATGTCCAGGAAGAGGCCGTGCTCCACGACACCCTCCACTGCGGCGATGGCCTTGGCAGCTGCGGGGAAGGTGGGCGGGCGGGGGGAGTGGGGGACATTGGCAGGACAGCGCTATCAGAAGTGCCAATGCTGGGTACGAAGTTCACCATACTCCGCACGCCAACACGTAGATGCCCATGTTATGTTTAAAATGGACCTGGAGAAGCCACAGACCACGCCCAGCGAGCAGGCCAGTTCCCACTGTCACACCTGCATGGGGCTCCTTGAGGGGCTCCTGGAAGTAGAGGTCCACGATGAAATTGTGGTTGTCGGTAACGTACGGCTTGCCCCCATCCATGCGCAGCTTGGCCTCGGCGCCGGCCACCTCTGGCAGCGCCTGGAGCCGCTTCAGAGTGTACTCGTGGCAGAACTGCACGATCTCGACCGGCATCGCATCTGCAGGTGCAGATGTGTTGGTTTCTCGGGGTGCTCTCATGCACAGCGCTCAAGACGATCCCACAGAAAGGGGAGCAGCAGCGACAAGGCCTGTTTTGAAGCACCAAGCACCAGCGAGCCACCCACCTCCCAGGCTGCAGGTCTCTTCAACAGGACGGACAAGATCCTGGACCCACCGCCCCACACACGATGACCGAGACAACCCTCACGCGCACCTTTGCTGCCCCCGAGGCCCTCAACCAGCTTGGAGTCGTCTACGATGCACACAAACTTGGCAGACGCCTGCTCCACCATCTGCAGAGGAGGGGCCAGGCTACACCGAGTCAGGGACCACGGCGGAGGCAGCATAGATCGACACGGTGCTGGGCATCATCACCCGCCCCCGCCTCACCTTCTCGCGGAGGAGCGCGCCGCCCCGGCCCTTGACAACATCCAGGTTGGGGTCCACCTCATCCGCGCCGTCGATTGCCACATCCAGCTTGGGCTGCTCCGACAGGGTCGCCAGAGGGATGCCGCGGCCTGGGCAGCGGGTGGAACGAGGGTAAGGGCAGGAAATTGATGGGGCGGCTGAAGAGTAGACTGCCGAGCGACCACCCGCCCGTATGGCAGGTTGTATCTGGCGCTCCTTTGGGACCCCCCACCCACAAAAGATCACATTTGCCCCACCTCGAGCAAGGGCCCCCATCATGTCCCTACTCAGTATAAAATCAGAAGGTCATCTTTATTTATTGAACGCACAGTCTCGTCTATGCAGTGCCGCCCCACCTTTGGCCTGCTCATAGGTCCGCACAGATGTGGGGACGCCCACGATGTCCTTCAGCTCTCCAGAGCTCAGCAGGTCGCCAATGCGGTCCACTGCGAATGCTGCAGTGGATCCTGTGCCCAAACCCACAACGTCCCCGCTCTTCACGTACTCCACGGCCTTCCAGGCGGCCTGCACGAGGGGGTGGCAGGGTTGGCTGCTGGGGCAGGCAAAGGCCGAGCTGCGGGGACACACGCCGCAAAGAATCCTGTACGTACCTGTTTCTTGAGCTCGTCCATGTTCAGAGCCCGAGTGACCAGGGCCCGCCTGGCTTGGGTGGCACGCCGCAGCACCGGCCGCGTCGTGAAGAATGACCTGCTCGCTGCTTGTGAACTCAGGCTGGCCTGCATCAGGACTTTAACACCGGCACGCCTGCCTTGCGCAACCTTTCAATTGTCTAGTCAGAGCAAGAGGGGGAGCAGGGCCGGGAATGGGTGGAAACTGTGTCCCTCTCCCTCCTCGCGATCAGGATGATGGCCCACCCCCGGGCGGCACACGTGGACCCGGGTCCCCCCTCTTGCAGCAAAGAGTCTTTGGCCGGCATGGGATGCTGGGTAGGGACCATGACTCGACGCACATCCATCCACTAGGTTCTCACATTACCAGCACATTGCAGTGTGTGGTTGGGATCGGCTGCTTGAGGCGCTTGTGCCGACTCTGGTGCAAGGAGCAGGGACTGGCAGGGGCTGCAACCAAACTCAAAGCGACGACGCGGGCATTGGAGCCGACGCGCACTCTTCACTCGGGTTAAAAGACCCCGTATGATGTGTTGCTAGCCCTTCGTGCCATCGGGACGCTTGCGTGAGGAGAAAACGCAGCGGCCTACACCGCGGGCGAGGACATGTCGCAGGCCAGGCTGAGGGAGGCCCTCAGCGCAGGCGGCCCCACTACCAAGGATAGGGGACCTCCAGTATCAGACGGGACTCTCACCGTGACCCCAGACACACCGGAGGCAGTGGAGTGGCGGTCTCGGCGATCAATCATCGACAGCATCGCCTCCTGCTCGACCTACCTGGACGATGATGACGATGGTGAGACGGGACAGGGGTGCGATGGGGAATGTGTGCGTGCCTGCGTCATTGCCCCCGCGCGTGCTGCTGGGGGGGATGAGTGGTGGAGAGAGGACCCAGTGCTGCCCTGCCCAACCCTCACTTTCCCACCGCCACACAGCATCCACCAACCCCGGGGATCTGTACGGTAGATTCACCTGGAAAATCGATAAATTTAGCGACATCAACAAGCGGGAGCTCCGAAGTAACACCTTTGAAGTCGGGAACTACAAGTGGTGAGCAGGTTGCTGTGGGCTCGATTTGGGGAGGAGGAAATGACAGCCAACTGTCGCCAGCCCGAAATTCCACATGGACCACCCAATGGTGGCTTAGTTGCCCCCACCAATGCCTGCAAGGCGCATGCCCCTGCGCGGGGACCAACGCTGGGGCCGTCCTTGCCCATCGGTTCGGCCCACTTCCCGCTCTCCCTGCAGGTATATCCTGGTGTACCCACAAGGCTGTGACGTCGCCAACCACCTGTCCCTCTTCCTCTGTGTGGCTGATTACGACAAGCTGCTGCCAGGTGAGGAACGCAGGTTTGAAGTTAGAGGTTGAATGTGGGCGGCTGTCAGGGTGGGTGAGTTATGTCTGTGGAGGTGGGGCGGGGGCCAGCGGAGCTGCGGGCATGCTGGCACAAGGGCCCACTCCAGGGTTGCATGGGCCATGGCCTGGGAGGCGCTTCCACCCCCCCTTCCCCTCTCCCACCCCCTTTACACCACACCAAGACCTCACACCTCTCCACCCCCAAACATGAAATCCCAACACATATCAGGGTGGAGCCACTTTGCACAGTTTACGATTGCGGTGGTGAACCGTGACCCCAAGGCCAGCAAGTACTCTGATACGCTGCACCGCTTCTGCAAGAAGGAGCACGACTGGGGGTGGAAGAAATTCATGGAGCTGGGCAAGGTGGGCGAGGGCTTCACCCTCCAGGACTCGCTGGTGATCAAGGCCCAGGTTCAGATCCTGCGCGACCGCCCGCACCGCCCCTTCCGCTGCCTGGACGCGCAGTACCGGCGCGAGCTGGTCCGTGTCTACCTGAGCAACGTGGAGGGCATCGCGCGGCGCTTTGTGGAGGAGCGCCGCGCCTGGCTGGCGCGCCTGCTGGCGCCGCCGGCGGGCGCCAGCGCGGGCGAGGGCTTCCGCGGCTTCTGGGCGGGCCTGGCCCCGCCCGCGCGCTTCGAGCTGTCCTGCGACGCAGCGGGGCCGCTGCTGAAGGCCGCGGTCAAGCGCTTCTTCAATGAGAAGGAGGTGACCTCCACGCTGGTCATGGATGGGCTGGTGGCGGGGTGCAAGGCGCTGGAGGCCGCAGGGCGCGCGTTCTTGGCCGGCGGGCGGTACGAGACGCCCTCCGGAGTGCTCATCGACGCCGTGCGCGGCGTTTTCTTCTTCGCCGGCGACGTCGTGGCGGTACTGGAGGCGCTGCTGGGCGACGCGCTGCCCCCCGCCCCGGCGCCCGACCGTGCCGCGGGCGACGCCGCGGCGGGCACGCGCGCGGCGGGTGAGCCGGACGATGTCAGCCGCGACTCGGTGGAGCGTGACGAGCGTCGCCTGGCGGACCTGGGGCGCTGGATCATGGAGACCTTTGCCGCCGCGGAGATCGCGCGCTTGCGTCTCGAGGTGCGGCTGCAGATTTGTGTGGAAAGGGGCCTTCTGTATCGTTTTTGTTGAAGGGGGGGCAGTGTTGCTGGGGCTAGGGTCTGGGCTCTCTATCGCGTGTGCACCAAGGGGTGGGTGGGTTGGGCAGAGGAGCAAGACAGCACGAGAGGCTGGCTGGAGACGCTGTCGGGGCCGCTGAACGCTTGATGGCTGGCGGCAGGCGGGCCTGGGGTTCTGCAATGTGGCGGCCATCCCTTCCACACATGCAGCAACCTCTGCTCCTTGAAACAAACATCAGTGTGCTGCCCCACAACACCCACGTCCACAGGCCGCCTGGATTGAGGCGGAGACCATCAAGCGCCAGGACGCGCTGATCAGAGAGGAGGAGCTGCTGAGCCAGGAGGAGCAGCTGAAGGCCGCCCTGCGCTCGGAGGTGGGTGCAGGAGGGGGTGCGGGGGAGTTTTTCTGTGTTAGAAGTGGCGCTGGGTGTGAGCGCCAGGGCTTCGCTGCGTTGGGATACTGACTGGCGCTTGGCGTTTTTGTCTGGGGGCGTAGATTGCAGGGGTTTTGGAGAATTGCCAGGCACGGGGTTGTGCACGGTGCAGTCTTGGCGCTCCTCCGTTAATCATCAGAGCGCCTCTGACATCGATGTCTATCTCCCGTCCACTGCCATCCACCTCATCATGACAATGACATGATCCCCACCCTCTACCTCAGGCTGAGCGCGAGCGTCGCGTGCGCAAGAAGGAGAAGCTGAAGCGGCGGAAGGAGGAGGAGCGCACGCGGCGCGAGGCGGAGGAGGCGGCGCGGCAGGAGGCCGAGGCGGCGCGCAAGGCGGAGGCCGAGGCGCGCGCGCGCGAGGCGGAGGAGCGCAGGCGGCGCGAGGAGGAGGCGCGCGAGGAGGAGCGCGCGCGCGCGGTGGCGGAGGCACGCGCTGCCAAGGCGCGGGCGAGGGCGGCGGCCGCGGCCGCGCGGCGCGAGGCTGCCGAGGCCGAGGCAGCCGAGGTGGAGGCCTCGGCCGCGGCACCGCGCCCCGCGGGCGGCGCGCCGGGCGACGCCGGGACGGCTGGGGCCTGCGCCGCTCACGAGGGCTCCGGCCCCGCCACGCCCACGGGCGGGTCGGAGGACGGCAGCAGCTGCGGGCCCTCGTTGGATGCGGCCTCGCCCTCCGAGGAGGAGGGCGGCGGGCATCAGGGTATCGAGGAGAGTCAGGCGGCGGCGCCAACGACGGCCGCGCTGGCCGACGGCGCGGCCGTCCTCCACGCCCGCCCGTACTCCACACCCACACCCACCAGCTCGGCCTTCTCCAGCGAGGCCAGCGAGGGCGAGGCCGGCGAGCTGGCCGCCGCGCTGGCGGCACTGGCGGCCCGCGAGGCGGAGGTCGCGGCGCTGCGCTTGCGCGTCGCCGAGCTGGAGGCCAAGCTGGCGGTGGTGGGAGTTGGGGTGGTCGCGGGCGGGGGGGCGGCCACGGGCGCGGCGCCCGTCGCCGCGCCACCTCGGCGCGGCGATGCGCGTGGGGTTGCCGCGCAGGCGGCGCACGGCGTGCCGCCGCCCTCCCCGCCTCGCGAGGTGGGGTTGGCGCGGCGGCAGCAGCCCGCGCCCGCCGCCGGCCGCCGCGGCAGCAACGGCAAGGCCGCCGCGGGGGCCGGGCGCGTGGGGAACGGCGGCGCCGCGCGGGAGGCGGGGGGAGCGCGAGAGGCGGGGGGAGCGCAGGGCATTGGGCGCGGCGCCAAGGCCGGCGCGGGGTCCACCACGCCGCCACGGGCGTTCGTCCCTGGGCAGGCCCCGGCGACGCCCGTCGCCTCCAATGGAGGCGCTACGCCCTTCCGCCTGGCGCCGGGCCCGGCTCAGGCCCCGGCGGCGGGGGCGGGGCCAGGAACGCAGGCCACTGCGCCGCTGGCCTCCATGGGCCTGGCCGGCGCGCACTTGGGTGGCATGCTGGCGCGTGGGCCGCCGGGCGCGGCGATCGCTGGCCCGGCCAGCGCCGCGCAGCGCCTGTTTGGCGCGCACGCGCCGCTGGTGACCACCAGCCCGCGCTCGTTCTCCACGCCGCTGACCGCCGCGCCCGTCGACCGCGCGGCCTCCGCGCCGGGCGGCGGCGCCCTGCACGGCAAGGTGCGAGGGCCCGGGGATGTTGGATGCTTGGGTTGAGGCAATTCCTGGGGCCAGGGTTCCGCCTGAGATCGTGCTCCCGGGTCCAGGGCAGAGGGTGGTGGCACGCTGCCTGGTGTCTGACCGAGCGGACGTGTCAATGCCACCCGCCTGCGCCGCACTCGCCGTCGCGCTCCCAAGGCAGGCCGGCGACGGGCAATTCCAGTTGCTGCTTCACTTCATGCGAACCCCCTGGGCACCATCCCCTTGCAGCAGCCGCAACAGCGCCTGGACTCGGCGCCCGGGCTGGAGTCGCCTGGGCTGGACGACTTTGCACACATGGGCCTGATCAACGACCTGCTGGAGTGATGGCTGGTGCACGCGGCGTGCGACGTAGCCCTGGTGCCTGCTTCCCACGATGCCAGCAGCGCCCTTGAGCCGTGCCCCCCCTTCCCTGTGACCCTGCCGCGAGCTTGCTCCCTGGATCAGCAGCCTGTACCCCCCAGCTCGCCCGTGTGTAACGCTGGCGACCCGGATGGGGATATGGGCTAGAGTGGGGGGCGAGGGGAGAGCTGGGCGAATGCATCTCCTACCGAAAGATGGCTGGCGATGCCCACCAGCGAGGCTCCACTCTCATGGGCAGCGCAGGGCAATTGCGCCCCTCTAACACCATCTCGAGCACCCTCTCGTTCAGACACGAGGCTTGCCAATAATAATCCAGAAAGTTCATGGACCAACATGTCTGCTCGAGAGGCGAGGACCTCCAGCGAGGCCTGCAACGAAGTTGGTGCCCCTGGCCAGCATTATTTCCCAAACACGCCGTTGCAACCTCCACAACACGCAAGATCCAGCCAATCCCCAGCCCGCTGTCAGCATACTGTCACACAGCGCGAGCAGGGGTCGGATGTTACAGCAGGTGCGAGGGAAGTGGATCACTTCTTGACCTTGCGCAGCAGAGTGGACATCTCCTCCCTCTTCCGCTTGGCACGCAGGTGGGTGCCGAGCTGCAGGGGGGTGGAGGGGGAAGTGTGAGGCACGAGTGACCTGCAGGTGACACCCGGTGGCTGGAGCACCCCAGCCTACGCAACAATCCAGCGTACGCAACCCCCTAGCCTGCGCAAATCCCCAGCCTGCGCAAACCCTCGACCCTCCCTGGCACTCCCGTCCGTCCTCCTGCTCACCTTGCGCTTGCAGAGCTTGAGGGCGCGCTTGTCCTTGCCCACCTTCAGCAGCTCCATGACGCGCTTCTCGTAGGGGGTCTGGCCGGCAACCTCCTTGATGATGTCGCGCACAAACTTTACACGCTTGGAGGCACGCTGTGGGGAAGGGGAGGAGTGCAGGGTGGAGTGAGAATTCAATGCCTGGACCCGCAGAGGGCTGCGCCCGTTCGTGTGTCTGGCGACACAGCGCAGACTGTAAAACGACACTGTGGCATCGCCTGCGATTCGCCGGGGTGGCAGCATCAGGCGTGCTGCTGAGCCCAGGATGCCAGTGCACCCCTGCCGGTCAGAGCGCTGCCGGAGCATCGCTGTATTCTACGCGCAGGTATGCGTAAGGACATGCGCCAGGCTGCCTCAGGTGGGACCCAACGCGACCAGGCCAGCCCCTCTCCCGGGCCTTGCAGCTCACCCCCTTGCGCTCAGCGGGCCGGGCGACCTTCTCGCGCTTGGTGACGACATGGCCCTTGGCCAAGCCGACTGCGATTCCTGCCTTCGCCATGCTGACAGGAAGTCTCTGCCAAAGAGGCACCTTGAGACCGTGTGCGGTGTGAAGGCCGTTCGCCGCCCGATGCCGTACTTTCTATTTGGGCCCCTTCGGAGGGGGGAGGGGAGGGTGTCCGAGCGAGGGGGGCGCTACCATTGTCGTCCCCGGGACCCTCCGCTCACCCTCTTTCTAAAGGGCCCAAGTGGGAAAGTAGGCTTGGAAAGCCCGGCCGTTCTAAAAGGAATAGCATTCGTTTCCACGAATGCGAGCTGTCTGAGGTCTGCTTAAAGCCGGAAGCAGCTTCACGACCAGCTTCGACTGTGAGCTCACCCACGTCGAGGCCACCTTTACAGGCCCTCGGGAGGCGTCAGAGCGTTCCCGGACCTCACCAGAGGAGGGAATGACGGACGAGCACGGCGGTGCGACAGATGACCCGTCACGCGGGCCGGAGGCCTACCATCCCATGATGCAGGCGCTGGGCACCCTCACGAACTTGGCTCATCTGATAACCGGATCGGGCAGGGGTCCAGGCGGGGAGGAGCTGCACCAGGGCGAGGGTGCACAGGACGATGTTTCCGTCAAGCGGCAGGCCGGTGCGTGGCATGGCCTGCGTCCTCGGGCAGTCACATTTTCGAATTTGCCGTTGGAGAGTGCATCGTTTGCGGCAGTGGGCAGGTGTCCCTCGCCCCAGCCTGCCCCTTGTTTGGTAGCGAGCATGGTCAGGCCCAGTAAACTTCGAAACCCACCACCCTCACCCCTCCCCGTGGTGCCCACAGAAGAGGAGAACTTCGTCGAGGAGAAGCGACGGCGCGTCGTGGGCGCAGACGATCTGGCAGCGCACAATGGGTCCCACATGCACCTCCACATGCAACAGTCTGGGGACCAGGGTGGGGTGTCTGAGATGCAGCAGCAGCAGCAGCAGCAGCAGCACCTGCAGGCCTACGCCATGCACATGTCTGGCGCGCACGACGGCAGCGGCGGCCCCACCTCGGAGGAGCTGGCGGCCGCCGGGCTTTCCTCCTCCGGCCTGGGCCTGTCCCACTCCATTTTTGGCGGCGCGTCGCACCTGCTGCCCCACCTCTCGCAGCTGGGCCCCCCGGGGTCCAACCCCGGCGGACCCGCCGGCCCCGGTAACGCCATGGCCCTGCTCCCGGGCCTGGGCTTGGGTGCACTGCCGCCAGGGACAAGCCCCGAGGCCCTGCTGGCCTTGCACAACGCCCAGATCGCGGCGCTGCAGGCGCACGGCGGCGCGGGGCAGATGGGCCTGAGCGCAGAGATGCTGGCGGCCGCCGCGTCCGGCGGTTTCGCCATGGCCGGTGGCGAGCACGGCCAATTCCCGACCCTGGGCCCGGACATGCAGCCCATGGGGCTGGACCCCGCGACCCTGGCGGCGGTGGCGGGGGCCCAGGGCGGCCAGATGGCCATCCCGCTCGACTTCCTGAGCCTGCCGCACCTCTCCCCGGAGCTGCTGCAGTCCATCCAGGCCGGCAACCTGCCCTTCAACATGCTGCCCGCGGGGTACGGCATGGCCCCCATGGGCAGCCCCACGGAGCAGCAACCCACCGCCGACCCAAACATGGTGTACAAGAACTGGTGGGACGAGGAGGACGAGAAGGTGAGGGCAGCAATGTGGCCGGCTGACGTTGTTGTGCGTCGGGGGTACATGGGAATAGAGGTGGCGAGTGCAGATGGAGGCGTGTGCATTCGCTGGGTGTCTGCAGTCTGTGACCAGCGAGAGGAAGCCTGTGGAGCAGGTGACTCATCTCTGAGCTTGAGCAGTGAAATCCGAACTCGGGCCGAGTCTCAGAGGGGGCCCTGCGATCACCAATGATGGCCAGGGTACACCAGCTCCCGGTTGATGGCCAGTCGTGGAAGGGCTCCAGGAGGAGTCGGCCACGCCCTGTTCCCTGAATTGCCCCCCCCCCCCTCCCGTCCTCCCCAGGAGCTGCTGAGGTTTGTTGGGGATGGCGAGTACCGCCGCCTGAAGCTGGGCAGCGAGGAGTTGGACTGGCAGGCGCTGGAGGCCCACTTCCGGCGCTCCCAGAACGCGCTGCGCAAGAAGTACTGGATGCTGAGCAAGGCGCCCATGCCGGGGACGATGGAGGCCACGCCCAAGCAGCGCGCCGAGCGCAAGAACTGGACGGAGGAGGAGACCGCGGAGCTGAAGCGGCTGGTAGCCGCGCAGTCGGGCGCGGATGGGGAGTCCGTGGACTGGGAGAAGCTGGCGGCGCACTTTGGCACCAGCGTGCAGACGGTGAAGCGCAAGCACCGGCACGCCCAGGAGCACCTGAGCCTGGCCTCGGGCACCCCGGCATCCACGGAGAAGGGTGCGTGGCGGTTGTGCCGTGCTTTCTTACTTGGGGAACCCGTGTGGTGGAGGGGCCCGAGGGGACGGGCGTGCGGATGAGGTCATGCGTGCCTGGGCGCTGCTTTGATGGTGGGGAGGCGTGCCTGCCTGGCGCCCACGTGGTGGACCAGCCCGCTCCGCTGAGAGGAGCGGTTGTGCTTTGCCGCCAGCCTCCCATGTCCGTCCTGGCAGTGTTTGGAGCACTGCAACCATGCATCACCCTCCGCCATCCTCGACCCTCCCCAGCCCTCCCTCAAAACCCACCCCTGCAGCAGGCAAGCGCCAGCACCACCGCAAGAATGTGCCGTACCGATGGATGATCGTGTATGCGCTGAGCCAGCTGCCCGGCCTGGAGGGCACGGCGCTGCAGATTTTCGACGTCATCGAGGGCTACGCCCCCTTTGTCGACCAGCTGGATACGCGCATCATGCCGGGGACAAAGCACGTGCCAAGGTGTGCACCGCAAGGTTTGGAGACGGTCGTCGGCACGTGAGGCGAGCGCCGGCTCGCCGGGGGCTGCCTGATGCGGAGGGCCTCGTGGCTGGCCGCTGTGGCTGACCCCGACACCCGGTTCCTCCCCCTCCACCCCCCACTCCCCCCCGGAAACACGTCAGGTGGAAGATCCAGGTGCGCAAGGTGCTGAGCGCCGACAACATCTTCCGCAATACGGGGCACAAGCAGAAGCACGAGACGGTGTGGCAGCTGGACCCGGTGGCGCTGCAGGAGACTAATGCGGAGCGCCAGCGCCAGCGCGCCGGCCTGCCCCCCTTCCAGTTCCCGACGGAGGTGGCCGCCGGCCTGGCGGGTCAGGACGGCGGCGCAGGCGGCGCCGCCGCGGGTCCCAGTCTGCCCCAGGACGGCGGCGCCGGCGCCCCGGGCGCCCTGCCACACATTCCGCTGGACGTTGCGTCGCTCAGCGCCGGCCCCGGCGCCGGGCTGGGGGTCAGCGCGGCGATGATGCAGCAGGTGCTGGAGGCGACGACGGGGCAGGCGGGCGCGGCGCCCCAGGTGCCACAGCAGCAGCAGCAGCAGCACCACCCCCACCCCCACCAGCAGCAGGCCGAGGGGCCGCAGGGCGGGGAGGGCGCCGCCCCGTCGCAGCACCTCGGCATGGGCATGCCGCACTCGCTGGGCCTGGAGGCTGGCCAGGGCGGGTACGGTGCGCGCCCCGCTCACAACTACGATGAGGCCGCTCGAGGCAGGGGCTGATGAGGGGGCGGACGAAGCGCCGAGCAGGCACCGGCTGGACCTCGGGCTGCGCACGGTCAATGTTCTTGGGCTGCGCACGGTCAATGTTCTTGGGCTGCGCACGGTCAATGTTCTTGGGCTGCGCATGGTCGGTGTCCTGCCTGCACATCTGACTGCCCTATCGTTCCACCTGCACCTGGGTGCCATGTCGCGTGTACCGTTACCTGTTGCGTGTACCGTTACATGGAGCGAATCAGGCATGGGATGGAGCGGGGGAGGGGGCGGGGAGGGACCAACAGGCGTGGGACGCTCGTCACTGCCGGCGTAGGCCCGCGTCACAGCGAGCGCGCCAGGACGGCCGGGTCGGCGTTCTCCACGATCCAGGGGTCCGTCAGCACCTGGCTGAGCGGTAAGCGGGCCGCTGGGTCCTTGACCAGGAGCTGCGGAAGGAAGGGAAGGGACAAGGGATGGGAGTGGGCGTGTGGCGGGGGGGGGGCCAACAAATGCGCTGATGTGTGGCACGCTCTGGTGTGCATGGCGGCGTCGATCGGGTGCGCTGGCTGGCAGACGCAGGCCCCCCCCCCCCCATTCGCCCACCTTGGAGATGAGGC